GGATGGCCAGCATGATAGGAAATCCATTGGAAATGGATGACATGACTGCATTGAAGGATAGAACATCATATGCAAGGCTGTTAGTGGAGGTGGAGATCTCTGAAAAAGTAAAGGAGAAGATATGGTTTCAAGATGAGAAGGGAAATCTTCAGGAGCAGGTAGTGAAATATGAATGGAAGCCCATCCAATGCAAAAACTGCCATGGATATGGACATGAGAGCACACAATACAGAGTGCCTGTTCAACATGTTTGGAAGGAACTGAATGCACCACTGACAGATGTAGTTAAAATGAAGGAACCTGTGCAAGTTGTGACTGTTGACCAAAGGAAAGAGACTATACACAACCCAAGTAAGAAGGAGAATCAATTATCAACAAATGGAAGGAAAGGTACAGGAAGCGAGAAACAGGACAAGTCTGATCACTCCCTTTGTATCATGAATCTACAAGGCAGGAAAATTCCTGAAGGAAGGCTAAAGGAGAAAGTTGGTTCCATTAATAAGTTATATTGTTCTGATACTAGTCACCCTAATATAGGGCCTAGTAATCATGAATAATATCTTAGTATGGAACATTAGAGGGCTTAATAGCCCTCTGAAACACAGGGAGGTGAAGCAAAGCCTTGCTGTGAATAAAGTTGGTTTTGGGGGATTACTAGAAACCAAATTAAAAGGAGAGAAGGTTGAAGAGTTTATGTTGGGAAAATGGCAGGATTATGATTACTTAAGTAATCATACAGTTGATGAGAAGGGCAGAATTCTAGTTCTGTGGAGAAAAGAAGAATATATAGTGGAATTGAAGGGAATGACAAACCAGGTGATTCACTGTATAGTTCAGGAAAAGCAAAGTAGTAAGCAATACTATGTTACCACGGTATATGCTGATAACTTGTTACAAGGAAAAATGAAATTATGGGAGGATCTGGATAAGGTGGCAAGTAAGATTGATGGGCCATGGTTGATAATGGGTGATTTTAATTGTGTCTTATACTCTGATGAAAGGGTTGGGGGGTTGAATGAAGTGAATTTAGACACTGATAAGTTTAAGGAGTGGGTGAAGAAGTATGAATTGGGGGATATGCAGTCACAAGGAGGGAAGTTCACATGGTGTAACAGACAGATGGGGAATAGTAGCATTTTCTCCAAATTAGATAGAACTTTGATCAACAATGCCTGGTTCTCTCATTATGAAGGAGCATTCACAACTGTTCTTCCAGAAGGAATCTCTCTGATCATAAAGCTTTACTGATTAGATGGGGTGATTGTGTTCTTGAGAAGAAGAAATCCTTCAAGTATTTTAATATGTAGGGGCAATGTGAGCAGTTTCTAGATACTGTGAAACAAGGATGGGGAACTGCAGTAAGGGAAAGTAAGCAGTTTGCATTGATTAAGAAACAACAAAACTTAAAAAGTAAATTGAAGATGTTAAACAGGAGCAGGTTTACCGATATAGAAGCAAGGAACCAGGAATGTAAATTGAAAATGGAGGAGTTGCAACAAGCAATAACTGATGATCCGCATAATGAACTATTGCAGGAAGAAGAAAAAGGAGCTAGGGAGGAATATCTGTTCACCTGTGCAGCAGTTTTAAGTTACTGGAAGCAGAAAACAAAAGATCAATGGATACAAGAAGGAGATTTGAATACCAAATTCTTTCATGATTATATGAAGCAGAAAAATGCCAGAAATTGAATCAGGTCATTCATTGATGAAACAGGTCAATTGATTGAAGATTGGGATAAGCTGGAAGATCACTTCCTGCAGTATTACATTAATTTGTTGGGCAGAAATGTGCAAAGAACAAAGGCCAACAGTGACATATTCAGGTCAGGAAAGAAGCTGAATATCAGTGAGCAACTTCACTTGACTGCAAGTTTTACTAAGGCTGATGTTCAATTTGCCATGAAGAGCATTGATATGAATAAAAGCCCTGGGCCAGATGGATTTGGTAGCGGTTTTTACAGAAAGGCACGGAGTATTGTAGGTGATGGAGTTTGTGATGATGTGCTAGACTTCTTTCAGTCTGGAAAGGTGTTAAGGCAGATAAATAATACACTGATATCTCTGATTCCAAAGATTGATTCTCCCACTAATGCAAGTGAATACAGACCCATATCCTGTTGCAACTCAGTATATAAATGCATCTCAAAGATTCTGTGTATCAGATTGAGTCAAGTGTTGCCTGATCTGGTGGACTTAAATCAAGGAGCTTTCATTAAGAAGAGACTGATTCTCCATAATATCCTCTTGACTCAGGAGGTTATTAGGCTAAAAAACAGGAAGAATACAGGTCCCTGCTATGTAATGAAAGTGGATTTAAGGAAAGCATATGATTCAGTACATTGGAGCTTCATAGAAGAGATGTTGACAGAATATAGCTTCCCCCAAAGTATAAAACAGTGGATTATGGAGTGTGTGACCACTTGTTCATATTCACAGAACCTCAACGGTAGCAGCTGTAGTTATTTCCAAGGACAAAGAGGATTAAGGCAAGGAGATCCTATGTCTCCACTCATATGTACTGGTAATGGAATACTTAACCAGGCACTTTAAATATGAGGCTGAGAAAGGAGGGTTCAAATACCATGTGTTCTGTGACAAACTGAAGATTGTTTCACTTAGTTTTGCAGATGATCTGGTCATCTTCTGTGGGGCTGAGATTGACACTGTTAGGAGAATTAAAAAGGTTCTGGATCACTTTGCAGAAACAACAGAACTGAGTATCAACTTACAGAAATCTAGTATATACTTTGGTGGAGTTAATCAGTCAACTCAGGAGCGAATTCAGCAAATTATGGGATTTGGAATTAGAAACTTTCCTATGAAGTATCTTGGTATGTCTATTTCACCAACATCCTGGACTAAACATGATTGTGCTGTGATGGTTGAGAAGATCGTAGGAAAGATCAGAAGCTGGTTTACTAGGCATCTATCATATGCTGGAAGAGTCATGTTGATCAACTCAGTCTTGCTCAATCTGAACGTTTACTGGGCAAGCATCTTCCTGATACCTCAGAATGTGATTAAGGAGATTGTGAAGTGTTGTAGAGAATTTTTGTGGGGAAGAAAGGAGAATGGCAAAGTCTGGAATCTGGTGGCATGGGATTTAGTATGCAGACCAAAAGGAGAAGGTGGATTAAACATAAGGGATCCTGCAATGTGGAATAAAGCTCTGTTGGGGAAACAACTGTGGGATATTGCTCAGAAAAAAGATAGCCTGTATATCAGATGGCTGGATATATATTATATCAAAAATAAAGATTGGGAAGTATATACTGCTCCTCAGAGTAGTAGTTGGCATTGGAAGAAGTTAGTCAAGCTGAAAAATCTGTTTTATGAGCAGATGAGAGCTGATGGAAGGTGTTTAGCTCAAGATGGCCAATATAGTGCGAAAATTGGGTATAAATGGTTAAGGCATGAAGGTGAGACTTTTCAACCTGCCAAGATTGTATGGAGTAAATATAGCCTGCCAAAGCATAGCATGATTAGCTGGCTTGCTTGGCAAGGTAGACTCTTGACAGTGGAGAGATTGAAGAAAGTGGGGATTCAAATTAATGATGATCAATGTTTGCTATGTCAGGGAACAGAAGAGACTGCTAGACACCTGTTTTTCAGGTGTCCATATACTCAAGAAGTACTCCAGGAGATCAGGGATTGGCTTGGGGTGCAAAATGTGATAAGAGGGTTGCAGGTTGGAAGAATCAGTCGCATTTGGAGGCATCACAAAGTCAAGAAGTGGATTGTCCAGGCTTGTTTGAATGCTGTCATTTACCAGACTTGGATGGAACGGAACAAAAGAAGAGTTACAAAGATAGAAACAACAGCATAGGTGAGAGCGAAAAGTATTAAAAGAGATATAACTTGCAGAGTTCAGTTTTGTATAGAAAAAAGAAACCATCAGATGTTAGGTTTTTGACAGACTTAGGCATACTTGTGTAGTGTTTTATGTAATAGTGTAGGAAATGTAATGGTGTTTTGTGTACAGTTGAAATATACTAAGCTTACCCTTGCCAAAAAAAAAATATATATATGCATCTTTCGAGCAATTTCATCAAATTTGATGAAATAATAAATAACGTGTTTGAAAAATACAAAATTATCATTATTTATCATTACAATTCATCACCAACTAATATAATTTCATTTACAAGGCAAAGATAATATTGAAAAAATAGGATAAAAATCACGTAGATTTTGTAAAATGATATATATTTTAACACTTTTTGTAAATTCTAAAACGACATATATTTTAGAACGAGGGAATAGTTAAAATTCCTTAACCAAATTATTAATAACCACTCCAATACATCATAAACATTACTATCATCCATCAAAATTTTTCGTGTAATCTAATTCACCCTGGTGGAAAATCCAATGTATTTAATTAATTATATACCACTAACCGTTTCATTTATTGATTTGTCGTTCTTCAACTACTGCAGCTATTGGTAGACATAGATAGATTTATAATTTTTTCCACTCTTAGTCACTTTCATTCATGGATGCAATTTTATGTGAAAAATATGAAGATTTATAGCTATTTTTCCCTTTTTTTTCTCCTTTTTTTTGACATTCTTCGAACCTGTCTAATTGATAATTAGAACAAATAATGGTTACTAAATCTAAATTACCAACTCAAATTTCTTATTAAAAAAATAAATTAAAAAAAGACGGTTTAGTAACTATCAAACTACAAGATTGACAGCGCAATATCTTCTAATTCAATTTTTCCTTTATAGTTTTTTTTCATCAGTCTTTAAGTAAATCACATGTTTGAAATATTTTTCTTCAATATGCAACAACTTTAAAAAATTAATTACTGGAAATTAATGATTAATTAAAGTTGCATAATTCAGACATGTATATATATATATTCATCATGCATGCCAGAAGTATATATTAAACCACCCAAGCTTCAAACAACACCTGTCTCTCCATCAAACTCACCAATATTTAATTTCTTTTACTTGGTTCAAGCAAGAGGGGGAAAAAAAAAAGAAGATGTTGGAAGCTCCAAATTCTCTTTTTTCAATTCCTATTTTCTTTTTATTCTCCGCATTTTCCTTAACGTCTGGTTCCACATACAATGTGTTAGATTATGGAGCCAAAAGTGGAGGTGAAATCGATTCATCAAAGGCCTTTCTTGATACATGGGCAGCAGCATGTACCTCAACAACTTCGCCATTGTTATATGTACCAGCAGGAACGTTCCTGCTTGGTAGCAAAACGACATTTGATGGGGTCGATTGCAAAAACAGTGTCACGGTACAAATTGATGGCACGCTCGTTGCGCCATCGGATTACACAGTTGTCGGCAACGATGGCAATTGGATCGTTTTTGAGCAAACTAATGGGATTGTTCTTACCGGTGGAACTTTTGATGGACGAGGTGCTGACCTTTGGAGCTGTAAACATGCAGGAAATCAATGTCCAGTGGGTGCAACGGTATGAAAGAATTATTATACTAACAAACAAACTCCCATATTTAAATCATCATTCACATGTTTTAAATATTCAACAGATTAGTCAATGTTTATTAACCATTTCATTAATGTTTTATTCTCGCTGCTTATAAGTATTCATTTTAAGGTCATAGTTGTTTTTTTTTTTAAAAAAAAAAAAAAACTTTTTCAAAATGAAATCCTGTCGGGAAAAATTAAAGAATTTGTGTCAAATACCAAATCGATTTTAACCAAGTTTGTGAATTTTTTTTTTTTTCTGAAAACGAAAATAAACTATAATTGGCCCTGTCAAAATGGTGGAAAATCTTAACAAACCTATTTTATTTATTTGTCTGACTTTTTTTGTGAAATTTGATTTTAAGTTTCTATTTTACTGCTAGAAGTGCAATCCCTTACCAATAATTAACCAACCATTTCATTAATATGGTATTAGAAATTCGAAATGTGTATGCTAATTTGAATGTTGTTTGATTTGTTTTTCTCATTTTTTTAACATTTGAAATTTCAAGCTAATTCTGAAGGAGAGTTATTCATCATTACATATATCCATTTAAAGTTGATTTTCCGATTAATATTTTTTTAAAAAAAATATATACTAACTATTTCCAAATTACAAATTGACCATGCAATCTTTTAATTGATTTTCTTCCCTTTTATTTCTTCAATATTTTGTAAGTTTTGAAGTAGGACTTAATAACTCAATCTTTGAAATTTGCTCTAATTCTATGCAGAATTTGGCGTTTTACGACTCAAACAACATTCAAATTAGCGGCGTAACATCGGTAAACAGCCAGATCTTCCACGTTATTATTCAAGAATGCACAAACGTGAATATAAAAGGACTCACCATCTCAGCTCCAGGAGATAGTCCTAATACCGATGGCATTCATCTTGCAAAGTCTTCCAATGTCAATGTGACCGGATCCACCATTGCCACCGGTGATGACTGTATTTCAATTAGCTCTGGTATCTACAATGTATGGATTGAAGACATTCAGTGTGGCCCTGGTCATGGAATAAGGTAATATTACAGTTTTAGGTATAAGTTTACTCAAAATATACCCACGAGTTTATTAATACTTTTATTTATCCCCTCTAGTTTTGATCTTTTTGGACATAATCGCGAGAAAATTCGAGACCAATTAAGCATCATTGCATTTGAGATTGGCCTCATGCATTAATAAAGATTGTCGGAAATCGCCAATACTGAGTGATGACCACTTGAATATTTAAATTTTTTAACTATTTTTTTTTCACTAGACCATGAACAAATGCATTCATTTCTCATGTGTATGAACAAGTTATCAATATTTAGTAACTGTGTAATTAGATTGAATTGAATCAAATTATAAAGTTGATGAATCACATTTGTAGACAACTTTTTGAGATTAGAGGTCATTATCAAGCACTCTAAACTTGAGGGTTGATTGTACATATACCTTATAATATGTTATTGCTTGTATAACATTAATCTAATAGAACACTAATATTGTGGATTTTTTTTTTTCGTTATAATGCAGCATTGGAAGCCTGGGTGCCGAACCCAATGAAGAAGGGGTGCAAAATGTTACGGTGAAACACTGTACGATACAAGAAACACTAAATGGAGTAAGGATAAAAACTTGGGCAAGGCCTTCCACTTCATATGTGAAGCAAGTGATTTTCCAAAATGTAACCATGGTTAACGCCGGAAATCCTATCATCATCGACCAAAACTATAGTCCTGGCAGTCCCGATGTTGGAGTAAGTTTTATGTCAGACGCTAAAAATAAGTTCAACACATTAATCTCTTATATATGTCGATTGGTACGTTATTTATTCAGTGATCAAGTGAATCGTTTGACGAATGAATACTCCATGTGTCACAAAATTAATGTACAGTTTGAATTTTTATTTTACTTCAATTCGTATTAAAATTGAAAATTCAAAATTGTACAATAATTTTGGATCGGAGAGAGTAATACATTTGCCAAAATGACTGTGATACTAATGCACTGATTTTCGATATGTGGATTCTTTAGGATTCATCTGGGGTTGAAATAAGCGGAGTAACATTTCAATATATTCGTGGAACATCATCAACAAAAGCAGCAATTTCAATTAACTGCAGTCCATCTAAGCCATGCTGGGGCATCACATTGCAAGATATTGACCTTACTTCTGGTGATCAACCAGCTGAAGTATCATGCTCCAATGTTTATGGAAGTAATGTTGGCACTGTTGTACCCGCCGGCTGCATCAACAAATCTATCGGGAAATAAGAGTAACAAAATTTCCAGAGAAAATTAAAAATAAGTCAATGAACTCATGGAGTTTATTCATGGATTAGAATTGATTCAGCTATTTGGATCATCATTTGTTTGAAATATAACCCAAATAACTTTGAGGCAACGGTTAAAACCGCCACAATATGCAATAGTTAAGATAGTAAAAAACATCAAGTGGCACAAATAAAATTTTCAATTTTGCAAAATATAATATATAATCAACAACTCAATTTAAAGATTAAAATATTCGCATGACGCGCAAAACACTTAGTGGAGATTGGAAAATTTCGACTTTAAATCTTAAAATCTATAATTCTACGACTTTAATATATTGTTAACGATTTTATGTCCACTAGAATCTTACTGTGCATTAGAATCTTTAAAATCTCGCTAAAATCTTTAAAAATGTTAAAATCTTATGATTTTACAATTGCATACGATTCTAAGACATTTTACTATTTAGGTTTTTTTTTGTTAAATTAAATTTGTTGGGCTGAACTTTTGGGTCTAAAATTTTGGGTGTCCAATCTTTTTAGTTCCTAAAATATTTTCCGGTTTAATTTTCGTACCTAATGTTTTTTACCAGATAAAATTAGTCCTGATACCTTTTTTTTGTTCAAAATTGGTCCTATTGACCGTATCTGGCTACTATTCCGGCGAAATATGATTTTTAAATCACAAATTTTTCCCAAAATTTTGTAATTTTATTAATTTTACCCCAATTTTTTTAAAAAATTCAGTTGAACCCAATTTTAACTTTAGCACATCAGTTTTCCAATTTTATTAAATTATTTTTTTATTTCCCAATCAAATCTTATTATACCAAAATGTAAAATGTACCACATTGTTTACCCTATTCTCTATCAAATTTACCATGAACAAAATAAAAAATATTCTAGAATACGTATTTATTTTACCCCCATTATTTTTTTTCTTCGCCTAGACTGTTACTATATCAACTATTAATTTTCACTATTTTTTATCTCCAAAAATTATAAAATTAATGAAATAATAATATAAAAAATAAAATATCTATAAATAATAAAATAACTTTAATAAATAATATTAAAATTAATAAAATATTTTGCGATAAATTATTGTAAATATTCAAAAAAAAATGGAAAATCAGTTTTATTTCCCTTTTCTGTCCAATTATTTCTTCGCGATAAATCATTGTCATCTCCTTTTTACTCTTTATTTTATATTTTTACCTCATAAAAATTAGAAACCTATTTGATTTACTTTATTTGTTTTTTTTACGTCAATAAAAAATCAAAACAGCAAAAAAAAAATTGTTCATCGAATATTCTCACTGTTTTAATTTTTTGACATAACAAATATAGATAAGGTAAACTAAAATAAGGTTTGGAAAACTTGTGAGTCTTTTTTCTTCTCCTCTCTAAACCCTCTCTTCTATTCCTCCTAGTGCCGGCGGTTCGCCGCCAGCCATAGGCCCAACACCCCCTCAACGCCCTTCATTTGCACAGATTTTAGGCTCTACCTCAAATCTAAAAACAAAACAAAAAAAAAAAAAAATCAAATTCTTCAGCTCACCTGTTATCCACTCGGAGCCAACTTTATTCAAAGGAGAGTCAACTTTTCTTCTTATAAAAGATGAAGATGAACAAATGGCAGCTCCATTTCATCTTGCTTTACTAGGGAAATTCACCAAAGGAAGGCCAAAAATAGATTTTCTACGGAGAGAATTCCAAATCATAGGCTTTAGAGGGAATTTTTCAATTGGGTCAATTGATTATATTATCGACACATCCTCATATGCTTTGATCTAAAAGAATTTTTATCGCTGTTGTCTTAAAGGATTGGGGACCTTCGACAAGTATCGGATGCGAGTCTTAAAATGAACCACTGACTTTAATCCGGGACATGAAAGTTCTATTGTTCCGGTTTGGATCTCTTTAGAAGGTCTCCCTATTTATAGCTTCGACAAGGACTATTTGTGAAAACTTGTGAACATCATAGGGACTCCTCTTCAAATTGATGTCCCAACTCTCAACATGTCGCGACCGTCTGTGGTACGGGTATGTGTAGAATTGGATCTCCTCAAGATGTCCCAACTCTCAATATGTCGCGACCGTCTGTGGCACGAGTCTGTGTAGAATTGGATCTCCTCAAGAAGCATCCTATTCGAATCAGACTGGGAGTTGAAGGGGCGACTTATTTTTGATCGATATTCTATGAAAACATGCCGCAATATTGTCGTGATTGCAAGAAGATTGGCCATAATCTTCAATCATGTTGACACAATTCACGAGCATCATCATCACAAAACAAAGAGTCTCTACTTTCAAAGCAACCATCGAGAAATCAAACACGAGGAAAGCAGGTTCCATTGGCTAGCGGGGGTCAGATTCCATCAGCTATTGCCACCGGAGATCCTCTCCATTCTAGTGTTGCACAGACCGCGGTGCAAGCATCAGACGAGCCGCCTCCGAAGTTGCATGCCCCCACCGTAGCACAACAATGCTCCGGGGGTCGGAAAGCTGCTGAAAACAACGCTGCCACTGTAGCCCCTTCACTTGTGGTGATCCAAGCCAATGCAGCGAGCCAAACTCAGGCTGTAAATTCTGCAAACTCAGCGAGCCAAAATCATGCTGCGGTTGAAACCCTTGCTACAAACTCTGAAATTTTTCTAATGCTGGATTCGACCACTAACCATCGATTGAAGCAGCATACGTAAGAAACACCAGCATGTGCGTCACGACCAAATTCAAGTGCCGACTTCAAGTGATTTAGCCGGCGGAGGAAAGGTCTTGGCGTCTCATGCTTCAGGTCAGCGAGTTGCTGTTGTTGAAGACGAGAAGTATCAATCCGCTTCTGATCAATCATGTCCTCTGGAGGCTCGACCAACAATGGATGAAGGCCGGCAAGAATTTCCGGCCACAAGCGACGGACAGGAGCCTCCATACGTCTGCGCATCAATCTCTCCCTGAAATTCGAAATTCGAATTTGGATATGACGCAATCCACTCCCTTAATTTCCTATGATCCTTATTCTTTAAATTTAATTTAATTTCAACAACCTTCCTCCAGCTTACCTACCGCACCAAACGCGCAACTGAAGCTGATCCCTTCCGCAATCAGGGCACTCAATCACCTTCCCCGAGTCAACTTGCCTCTGAAAATTCAAAAGCTACTTTGTCGCAGTTAAAGGATGAAAATTTGGGAAAGCTACAGTGGAGTTCTGCTCCGATATATCATAATCACTCAAAAAAAGTCAAAGCAAAAATGAAAAAAGTTCAAGTTCATCGGTCAGTTAAATTGAATAAGGATTAAAATTTTACTTTATGATTAAAATTGTACTTGTTATAGGGTTTAGTATATTCGCTGCCCTAACTTTTTTTTTCTTTATAATTTATAAAATTTGTTTTTGTTTAAAACAAATATATATCTTACTATTTAAAAAAAAAGGTTTGGAAAACTTTTGTTCAACTAAGAGATTAAAAAGATGAATATTCAAAAATATAAAATTTTGTAATATGAAAACGTGATCAGTCGAGTAAAAATAAAGAGTTAGAGTGAAAAACATAAAAGAAATTTTAACAAATTTTTGTGCATATAATTTTACTAAAATAATTTATTATAAATTTTTAATATAATATTATTTATTAAAATTTGTTTTAATATTCTAGACTTGTTTTGTTAAGATACATTATTATTTTACTAGATGGTACCCGCACGATGTGCAGGATAAATAAATTATGTATAAAATCGAACATAATAATAATTAAAGAAATATTTTATATTTTAGTAAATTGATATACATTTAAAATCACTAAATTAAATAATGTTACAATAAAAGTAATTTTTATACGCTACTTATTTACAGAAGAAAAATAAAGATATCCATATATTGATATACATGTTAAATATATTTCATTTTCGCGAATCATCATCATATATTTCACATGTTGTCCCTAAGAAAATATCAAACATTGAAATCATTACTTAAGATTGGCAAAGAAACTCACCATGATGTGTATTCGAAAATCCTTGTTGCAGAAAAATATTTGTCCACAACTTGCAAAAGTTAGAAGTGAAAATCTTTTGACAGAAAAAAAAATAATGATTATTAAAAAGAAAAATATAAATTCGAGAGAGAAGGGGGAGGGAGGGAGAGGAAGAGGAAGAGGAAAAAGAAGAAGAAGAAAAGATTATAGTATAAACTGGGATTGTAACCCAATTGAGTTTTATAAGTACACTTTATATATCTATAATATTATTCAAGCCCATCAAAAAAAAATTTCAAATCAATCAACTTTAATATTGAATTAAAGAATCACTGATGATCTTGTATTTTTTATTTTCGAATTTCAAATAATCATTAATATTGTTTAATGATCAAATCAATACGTAATATCATTATTCAAGCCAATCGGATAATCTTTTTCAAATCAATCTTATTTACTGTTGAGATTTTAAAAATTTATCGTTTTCTTTTTCATTTTAGGGAATGCAAAATAAAAATTTTACCTCTCAATTAATTGATATATTTTTATTAAGAGTTGATAACAATTTATTAACTGGAAGTTCAAAAAACTGTTTGTGTAATTGTGTAAATATTTTTTGTAGCAACCTATAAGAAAATGACACATAGAATTTTGTCCTATGTCTCAACAGTAGGAGAAGTTTGATTTCCTCTATGTGGTTTCTCTCTTAGTATAATAATATAGACTATAGATGATATATCTCTAAAAAAATATTATCTACAATTTCATTAATTATTTTCAAATTTTAAAAAAACATTAATATTGTTTCATGATCAAACCAATATATAATGACATTATTCAAGCCAATCGAAAAATCTTTTCAAAACAATCAGTGTTATTGTTGAATTAAAGAATCAATGATGATTTTGTATTTATTATTTTCGAATTTCAAAAAAAACATTAATATAGTTTAATGATCAAACCAATATTAATAGCATAACTCAAGCCCATCAAAAAATCTTTTCCAATCAGTCAACTTTAATGTTGA